TCTCTCTCTCTCTCTCTCTCTCTCTCTCTCTCTCTCTCTCTCTCTCTCTCTCTCCTTTCTTGTTTAATTGTCCACCAAGCTGATAGTGCTGCTCAATGCATCATGGGCAGACCACTAACAGACAGTATGCTACCACTTATCATATTTTAATTCTATCTTTCTTTGTTTAGATCTATGGTAAAATGTGATTGCTAGGTTGGGTTGGTGGACATGGAACAAGATATCTATGGCCCTAACTCAAAGAAGGCGCATTCAAATATTTATGTACTTCTTGTGTCAAAGCACACCTATATTTCTCAACAAATTTATTAAATCTTTTACTTGCCACCGCAAATGACTATTTGAATGGTGACTGCCGTGTCAATCTTAATACCATACTATTGAGTGGTGACTGCCGTGTGATGTTTTCATCCGTATATCTAAATAAAACATTATAGTTGAATGTGACTCCGCCGGCTGCTAACAAAGCAACAAACATGAATGCATCCGCGCAATTATTGAACAGATTGTCTTGAACTCGCGTGCATCCCACCAACATTTGTCCGGCTGCTAACATGCGCCATGCATGCATCTAATGCGTGTCACACCCACAGAGTACGTGCAAGATATATCTGATTACTATAGCTATGCATTGTCACGCCCATGATTGATCTGTGCCTTTCTGGTAATCTAGCCTTGCAAAGTTTTGGTTCGAGCGGCTGTTGTGAAACAACTATGCAATCTAGGCAGCATTGCCTTTGGCCTAGTATCAATCCTACGAAGATAACGCTAAAACTTGTTAAAAGAAAGCACTATCGTACTCGAACTATGACGTAAAACCTACATATTCCATTAAACTAATAAATCAGGCAAAACATTGATTACTAACTGAACTACAAGACCTAAAAAATAGCAAAAGAAAGCTACATTTTAGTTATGAATGCTAGCTACCAGGAATTTGTTGTTTTAATTGATTTTTAATTTTGTCACATACTCTATCAGATTTACAGGAATACATATGATGTTTTTGATATTGCGCCGACGTTAGAAGTCAATTTGACGCCTAGTTTTGCCTCCTACGTATATGCATAATGTTCGGTCATAGATAATTTTATTTAGGGCTAGTTTGGTTACTATCCTGGACACCACGCCTGAAGAATATTGCTGCCTGGGAATTTGCTCTTTCGTGCCTGGTCAGGCAAGCTAGGCAGAGATGCGTTTGGTTCGTACCTGGACTGGTGTACTCGTATTAAGGAATAAATGTCCGCACAAAAACTAAAGACAGTCCTATTGCTTGGCACAAGTCCCTATACTAGTGTTAGAGGCTAGGCAGCTATTAGCCGGTGCGCAGGCCCCGGAAGTCGGAAGCCTGGTAGGCTAATGAAGATGCCTGGTTATCCAGGCCCGGGCATTACGATCTTTTCCAGGAACTAAACAAACTCCGCCCAGGAAGATCACATGCGTGCACCAGGCCAGGCTTGAAACAACGAGGACGCAAACCAAACTGATCCTTAGAGCTTTCTAGTGGCACAACACAGAGTCTTTTCCTATTCTTTTTCCTCACATCCTCACCATGGGTTCGAGTGTAGGCTGCCTGGTAGTTGTCCTTTATTTCTCTTCTTTTTCCCCGCTTAGACCCGTGGCCATCTGAATAGGAGTTAGCTCACCCTCGCGAGGCCAAATTTAGATTCATTGCGCAATGTGATTGCTAGCTTTGTTTGGCAGAGATGGAGGATTATCCTGTCAACTTAAAGGAGGCCCTTACGAATAATTTATGTTCCTCTTGTGTCTGAACGCAACTACATTTCCAAAGGTAGCAACACATTAAATTACTCATATACAATTAATTAGGATGGTACAAAGTGTGCGGGCACGCAGGGAGGTGAGACATGTCTATCTAATCTAATGGTTGACGTCCGACAGTCCGGTGACGTTTTCGACCATATATATTATCCTCTAATAATACATTGTAGTTGAAGGTGACTCCTATCGGCTGCTAAAAATGGAGTATGAATGCACGCATGGATCTTGAACTAGTGGGGCACAACATAAAGATGTCATGGCCTGTATACTAAAAATGATTCAACCGGCTGCTAACATTCCTAGTGAAGAGCAGATCTTAAAGTCGATCTAGTGGACGTCGCACCGAATTCCCAGTATGCACAAGATCATATACCAGATTCCTCCTGCTGCTACTTGACGGTGAGAAACGTAAATGCATGCATGCGTTGAGTGGTCACAGCTACGTAAAGATAGGCCTGATTGTCACACTCACGATGGTATGTGCCGTATACTATTCCAACTGGTGCGACTGCTATGAAAAGTGGATGCAATCTAGACGATGTTGTCTTTGACAAAGTATCAATCATATATATAAAGATAACAATAACACATGTGGCAAGAGAAGCAGTGCACAAAGTACACCGCGTACATGTCCTTTTCCTTGTAGCCTGTTTGTGATCTCATAATTAAGCACCACACGTCCAAACGAAAAGAAACCCACCTACTCGGCCTATGCTGAGAAACTGGCACATTGCATTATGCTGATAAACCAAACAAAAGAACGGTTACCAAACGATAGATGAAGTAATTTTCACAAACACAACCACAACAGACATGCAAAATAGGAACCAGTACCAAATTACCTGCACAACGGCTTCATCTTAGAGAAAACTAAAACTTTTGAATTCCTGCTCCAATAGTTCTGTAGGAGACAAAATCTGCTAAATCGAGGGTGAAGAAAAGCCCCGTCATGGTTACGCCATGTCAAAGTTTCCCTCTTTCCATCCCTTTCTCTGCACCCAAACCGGTCGAATGGCTGAGCCAGACCAGCCTAAGTCTCACCGACCCGTCCCATGGACTCGCAATGGCTTAAGCTGCACCAGGTTGCACCTTCACCTGACTCGTGCACCAGCAATGGTTGCCCTCATATAGATACGCTTAGGGGCAAGTATTTGAAGGAGGCGGCGACAACTATGGAGAAAATGAACATAGATAAATCATCTCCAATACGT